GAGTAAAATACTCCCTCCGAAAAGAAAAATGTTGACCTGAACATCCGGTTTTTCGCAGGCATGTTCTTAGGGCTTTGGTTGACTGACTTCACGTTTCGATTATGAAGGGAGGTCAAATTTATGGCTCACCCCGAAGGATATGATCAACGATGGTCGCTTTTTGCTCTAGTAGTGCGTCCCTGAACTGACCAAATACGACCCCCCTCCCAAAAATGACCAAGTACGACCCCCCCCCCTTACAGCGTCCGTGAAACAAGAGAAATCAACTATCAAAAAAATTTTTCTCTGACCAAATACGACCCCCCTCCCTCGCGGTCAAATACGACCCCCCCCTTGTGATGATCACAACGATGGCGTACCCTGCTCCCCACTCCACATCGCTATTCTCAAAGTATAACACTTGTTTCCCGCAGTGAAACATGCACTCAGCGCATTTTCGACGAGAGAAAGTGGCACGTCACCCTACACATGGCAAGAACCATCGGAGGAGTACGCGTCTGTCTTCAACAAAGTACGAATCTACAAATTTCCCCGTTGAATTTCCCGTGTAGAAACTCCGATTCGTTTGTACAATGTGGGTTTCCATGGGAAGAGTGATGTTCCTAAAGCGCTTTTCAGTTCGGAGCGCTTTTAGGAAGCCCCTCAGCTCCGTTTCCTAGATCAGAGCTAATGTATCAATAGAAGTAGTACCGTATGAAGTTTGCAGCCATCTGAGATGCCCCCGACTTTCAGGTCTTTAATTGCGTCGCAGTCAAAGTGCAATCTGGCTTATATATACAATGACTTACATACACGGCCCAGCGGATGTATAAGTCAGCGTTTTCACACTCACAAACGACTCTGGTACCAAGTGCTCACCCAGGCGGGAGCGAAGGCATGAATGGCATGAGCGGAGGTGAATTCCGCGTAGGCCTTCCATACCCTCGCTCCCTCCTGGATGGGTTTATGTCGTAACATTGGCGGTGACCTGGATTTAAGGTAAGGCTTCCAGGCCATGCGCCTAGTAAGGCGGCCTCTAACACCAACAAACTACAATTGTGCCAAGATACCATGAGGAAACGTCGCTAGACAGCCTTGTACTTCAGGGAGTACCGCCAGGTTTCGAGGGGGTTCTTCCGCCCAATATCATTCAACAGTTGAAGGATCTCGATTCGAGCAATCTTTCATTTCAGGTACGCCATAATCTCATTTTCAGAACTTCTTCGAGACTTCAATCTGACTTTAAAGATTCATTTAGCAAAGACATGAGCGGTTCGAGCAGATTATGTCGTCAGTACCGCCTGCTCTTCTCGCCAAACTACCTTTTCCACCATTCTTCAACAACTTACCGGCGGACGTTCGTGCTAAACTAGAACAAATTCATCGCGATCCAGTGAGAAGACTATATTCTTCTGTTCAAGGGTGATAGTAGCGAAAAATCGATCAGTAATTGATTCAGACGTTAACGTGGAGCCAACGTCACCAGAAGACCCACACCATATTTGAATCGCTACCGCCTGAGCTCCGTCCCCGTCGGCCAGGACCACCTAGAGGTCAGTTCCATCGAGATTTAAAACTTTTTCGCGTGCGGTGACGTGGCGAAAGCAGTGTTGCGAGAGGCCGCATGCGTGCGGAGTTCGCACATGGACCTAAATGATTTAAAGAAGTGCTGTCGCAGTACTATCTCTAGCTAGTTTATCATATGGATGTAGTGCCCACGAACTTCAACACTCGGAACCTAAAGAGAGAAACAGAGACTTCTGTAGATATTACACCCTAGCCTATCTACAAAACGTGCAGCTCCTTCCAAATTGCACGATTACAAAGAGAGAAAGTTTCCATTAGTGGTTGATCGTGATATTGCTTAGGCGATAGATTATCTTATTTCCAAGCAACTCAATATTGTCAGGAATGGCGCGAGGCCGAGCATGAAGGCTCACGACGACGATTCGACCACTGATGGGCTTCCAATTTCAAAAATGGGTGTGATCCCACTCTGTTCTCGATCCTGAGATTGAACTGTTGTGGTGGTGCTGCTCTGCTGGGATTGTGCTGTTATTGTGAGGAGATCGTAGAAATAAATTATTCTATCGACTGCTGTCCTTGTTTCGGAACACGTCAATGTCCGCTGGGTAACTGATATGCGAAAAGTATCTTCGATTCGGGAGTAAATTCCTGGAGAGCTCCATCTGTCTACGGCAGTTAGTACCCCCTACTAACTGCATATTGCATGATATCCTTCTATTTACTTTGGCCTTACTGCTACGCCTCTATTGGATCAGAGGTCAGAGCACAAGGAAAGCGCATGATGACAGTGGCGCTGCATGATGGCTTGTGCTTGGTATGAGACCGCTGTTCTAGTCTTCTAACCCGTAACTGGAACTACTACCACCACACGGAACTGGAATCTCTTCCAGAACTACTGTTTTTAGGGCCACTAACAT